TGACTCTGTAAACCGCTTAGAGAGGGCTGAAAGCCCTATGAAGCGGTATATAAGTCTAACTGCTATTGCTATTATAGGTAATAACCAGCACCTTGAAGCGTGTCTGGAGACCGATGGGAAGCCAGGGCATCTCACGGAGGATAGGTGTAACATGGGTGTACCAAGGTACACCCAGTATTGCTCGCGCGGTAATTATTACCTAATTCCCGTATTTTTCATTCTGAACATTAATTCTTTCCTTTGGATGCTCAGCTGTTTTGATCGTATTAACAGGAGTTTTAATTTGAGAGCAATTGAATCAGGCATTAATGGGATACGGGCAAAATCAGAGAGTGACAAAAGAACCATCTTCTTCCCTAATTCATACCTTCCCTGCTTAAAAAAAGAGAGAAACTAATTCAGATTTTGTACTCCTGACCAGTAAAATCGTATTCCCCTCTTTATATAAAAAGAAAATAGGTGTATATGGTTGCTATTTGTTGTGAGTGTTGAAGAATAGCAAAACAATCTATGCTTGGAACGAACAGCTCGATAGAAAAAAAGATAACGTTTTTGACAAAAGTTGCAAAATTTAAATAACAGTGTTGGGAGTTCAGAGAAGTGCCTGGAATTAATCCCCTGGAATTTACAGGTTGAGTTCAAAGAGAGACTTTGAAAGGGAACCATTGCTCAAAAGGAAACAAGTTCTGGTTATTTTCTTTAATTAAAAAAAAAAAGGGATCCCTTTTCTGCCATCCATAGCTGCGAATGGCTTAGCCTTCAGCTGAAAATGGAAATGTTTCTGCAAATAAATGTTTTCCCCTCCGCTCCCTTTCTCCCCTTTGAAGAAAATTGGGTGGGTGGGTTTGCATAGCCTGGAAAGGAATTCGACAGCCAGACAAGTCATCAAGGCCACAGGCAAAAATAAGGAGGGAGGTCTGCACAGGGCTGAGCTGGCTTTAAACCGTGGTTTAAATGTGGCTGTAGGCTCCTTACAAGGAGACAGCCCAATGCTGATCTGGGCATCTCGTTTTGCAAATGCAAAATCCGCGAGTCTGAACATTTCCAGTCCTGGGGATGAATATTTAAGCGTGTTGAAAAAAAATGTATTTTTTTTTTGTTACTTCTTGTGTGCAACTTTTATAAAATATGCATTCTTGGTGTGGAGAGGATTAAGTCTCAAGACAATGTTTTCTGTTTGTTTTTCCTGCTCCAGACCATCTTCTGATTATTTGTTGATTGATCAACCACGTGTCTCTTGGTCTTATCAAAATCTGCCGTTTGCAAACATTTACCAGTTTGTTAAAAAAAAAAAATAGCTAACGTTAAACCATCCCGATGCAGAATCCTGGAAAAAAATCAATGGAGGTTGTTTGTACCTGGATTTGCATAGGATCTCTGTCTACTTTTTAAATCAGATTTGTCCTGATACTCGCTATGTCTTAGTAGCAATTTTTAAAGAGGTTTGGGATGCTGCTGAACATTTGCAGGAATCCTGTGCTGTCCATTTCTGATGCAGCTTCAGTAGACCTTCTTCAGAAAAAAAGTTAATGGGCTGTTATTAAATCTTGTGGCTTTCTGGAGAGAGAGGGAGGGAGAGAGAAAGGAAGAGAGGATAGAGGGCAGTGGTGGGATTCAGCCAGTTCGCACCTATCCGGGAGAACCGGTTGGAAACTTTCTAAGCAGTTCAGAGAACCAATTGTTGGAAGAAATCTTTTGCTTTTTTCCCCACTTTACAGGGCTAATCCTGTAAGGAAGGCAGGAAAGAAACATTCTGGTGTTGTTTCTAGCCTAATCTTTATTGCCCTGCTTGCAGAAACTGCCTCTCCAGTTAACCCTTATTACCATTGTAACAACTAAGGTGAAGTGCCCATCGACCTGAGTGACGTTGACTTGGTCACGCCCACATGATCACATGACCACCGAGGCCCGCCTACCCAGCTGGTAATTAGGGCAGAGAACTGGTTAGTAAATTATTTGAATCCCACCACTGATAGGCAGGCAGGCAGGCAGATAAATAGATAGATGGATGGATGGGTGGATAGATAGATAGATAGATAGATAGATAGATAGATAGATAGATAGATAGATAGATAGATAGATAGATAGATTGCAAGATAGATATAGTAGATACAATAGATAGATAGATAGATAGAGAGAGAGAGAGAGAGAGAGAGAGAGAGAGGTAGGTAGGTAGGTAGGTAGGTAGGTAGGTAGGTAGGTAGGTAGGTAGGTAGGTAGATAGATAGATAGAT